ATGTTGTTCCAAACCCGTAAAACCTTCGTTCATCTTCAGAGCACAATAGAGCTGCACGATTCTGGATAAATTAAGAATCACAATTTTTTTTTTGTGTCAAATAGAAATCACGATTGTCCCATGATTCTGAACATAACAAAATAATGTGTGACAAAATATTAATTGCTGCAGTCTATTTAAATGTGTTTAATTTGGATGAATTATTAAACATTTTAATATATAATATATGTATTTAAAATATAATATATTTAATACACCAATTTTTAGTAAATCATCATCATCTAGTAAAATGAATTGAATGAATGATTCAATGACTCACTGATAAATAACTCACTTGTTTCATTACGGGATGCATCAGCATTTTTGAACGAATCTCGAATGAATGATTCAATGACAAATAAATTTTTGAACTGTCACTTGTCGCCACCTAGAGGCAAAACAATGCAATCACCACAAATGCTATTTGAAGCGCCAGTTACTATCAAAAGGGGATTCGCTTTATTTTGATCCGCGCTACCATCATGGCCGGACTTACCATTGGGCTTGAGTGGGCTGCAACCCATGGGCCCCGCCTTTGCCTGTTTACGTTTGTTTGATTTGTTCGTTATATGCCAGCCAGAATTCAGAAATTATTAACCGCGTTTCCACTGCGCACGCAAGGTCTAAACGGGCCAGCCGGGGCTACAGCTTACAACTACGACCTTCGAGGCCACAATCAAACAGCATAAACTGGCATTTATGATTATTTCACATAGAAGAAGGACACACGTTTTGAATCGCGTCTGAACCGATTGGTTTATCACATGGCTAAACAGCTCCATTAAGCCTTTAGCCCCAAAGAGCGCACATTTAGAAAGATAAAGATAAATTCTCAAATGTTCACACCTCGTTTCTTTACAGAGGATGATTCTATATTATTAATTTTCCACTAAATTGTGCGATCATCTGATGACTTTTGAGCGCTCTCTCTTGTCTTTCTGCCATTATACACATAGTGGGGAAGAAATGTCATCAAAATGATTTTAAATTTAAAATAGCATTTTAATAAGTTTCTGTTTTTATAACATAGCTATGCCTATGATATAGGAGTTAGCCTATCACACAAACAAGAATCCTGTTTTTTTTTTTTTTATATCTGCTCGATCGCAAATGTACAATAAACAGAACAAACTCACAGAGTAACTTTCAGACACAAAATTCCGTTTTGCTCCGTCAGAAAGAAAATAGAACAAACAGCAGAACCGCTGCGTCTCCGAACAACAGTGTTTTGTTCCTCAGCGTTACACAGACCAGCAAATGTTTGCAAAGTTAAATGAATCAACTTTTTAAACGAATTGGTTGATTCAACTCACTCATTAAGACAGTCACTTGCTGCCACCTACTGGCAGTTGTAGTTTCATATTTAAAATTTTTGCAATCATTTAATATTTCTACATTAAAATGTTATATTTAAAATTTATGCACAATCCATCTATGAATTTTGTTGATAGTGATTTCATTTGATTGTTAATAGCCAGCATGTCTTTTTATTCAATTGAATTTATTGATTTAAATAAGAGCCTGACATAAGAGGACACAGATATGACAATAACTTTTATAATACTAATAAGCCAACATCTCTGACTTTTTTTTTTCTTCTCAAAGTTATTTCAAGGTTTTAATCTCTCAACTGAGAGAACACATCTTGTTTATTATATTATACTGAGTATTTAATATCACATTTAAATTTTGACTATAGCCTGTGTTGCATATTAATTGTACTATTTATGAACCTCGAAGCATATGTTTGTGTATTTTGTGTTACTCCATAATGATGTTCTATTAAGGGCGTTTGTAGTGTAGGTATAGGGCCCAAACATAATCAATAATCAAGCCCAGGGGCCCCCGCCCCCCTAAGTCCTGCCCTGGCTACCATAGGCATCAATGTTTGTATCCGAACTATAAACTTTCATCCCAGTATTTCTGTGATAATATGAATGACTGCAAGACAGAAATAATGCTGTGTAGTTGAAAAGACTGTTTGTGAAGCTGTTTCTTACCTAAACATGTTAACCGTCTGCACTCTGTGTCAGCGGCAGTGCGAATGCAGATTTGAATGTTCCAGTATGATTTAAAAAGGTTTAATTGACACGGGCGAATCATTGTCATTTAGAAATTAGATCGTGTGGGTAATTGTGCAGCTCTAGAACACAAATTAAGATATTTTTGATGAAATCTGAGAGCTTTCTGACCCTCCATAGACAGCAAGGTAACTACCACGTTCAAGGCTCAGAAAGGTAGCAAGGACATCGGTAAAACAGTCCATGTGACATCAGTGGTTCAACTGTAATGTTATGAAGCTACGAGAATACTTTTTATGCACATCAATGATTGATTAGCTCTATAGTGTTGCTGATTCCCATCATTAGCTGGTTTTATTACCCTGTCGGTCATTTCACCTACAACCTGCACACATGTGCACTTCACACACACATTAATAACACACAACCTTGCTTTACAAAACACTTTCTGCCTTTATTCTCATCAGGAAACAGTGTTATTCCATCCCGCATCCCATTTACCCAGAAACAGTCATTCATTCACTGACACATCTCATTTTCTGGTGTTGTGTTTCATTACGTCTTAAAGCTGCATCGGTTGGTTTATTCGTCCTGGATGTATATATTTCAGCTGCCTTATGTTTCTTGTTTTTGTAGCTGTGATCATCTGGATTTCCCATTGTGTAGGACTTTTGATTTTTCTCATGTCATTGTTAAAAGTTGTCAAATATATTTTAGTCAGAGTCCCCATAGTAAGCCTGCTCACAGAAGCACACAGCACTGTTCCTCTGCCCTGTGTTTGTGTTTCCTGTAAGAGATGAATGTGGGAGAAACGGGCTGTATGGGGGAAGGGAGGACGAGGATGCTTTGTGAATTCAGTGCTGCTGGATTCTCTGGAAGCTCAAGGTTAATCATTTAGGAGGGTGTTGTGGGGTTTGTTATGGTAATTTATTTGAGTGTTGGCTTTACGCTGCTGATTGTCGGATCAAGGGTTAAATGTCACCAACGAACAATTATGGAAGATGTATTCATGTGGTGGTGTTGTTAGTTATTTTGTCTTTACACTTATTTATAATGTCAATATTTTGTCTATGTGCAGTCCTTTTGGTGCTGTAGAGATTAGATTTTTTTTTTTTTTTTTGCTGTATGTATTTAAAAGCTTATAATTAAAAATAAAATGCCACAAAAAAATCTACAAATTTCATAGTAAAAATTAATAATCTGATGTAATGCTAATATACCAAATTACTAAAATCTGTTTTTACCTGTATAGCGTACTGAAACCCATAAAGAGTCAAATGGTTAAGAGAGGCACAAGCTGGAGGTCGATACTAATATACAGTGGGTACGGAAAGTATTCAGACCCCCTTAAATTTTTCACTCTTTGTTATATTGCAGCCATTTGCTAAAATCATTTAAGTTAATTTTTTTTCCTCATTAATGTAGTCTGAATACTTTCCGTACCCACTGTATAAACAGCACACAGTGTCATTCACACAAATACTAAACACTATCATGGTAACACACATCACACTAAAATTATGCAATACAGAATTCTGGGAATGTCAGTTTGCTTTTTTCTCACTGAAAATTGTGATATGTCTTGTTCCTTTTCACGTCCAAAATCCGTGCATTTAACAATATTTTACTGTAAAATTACATGAAATGTCCCGTTTTTACGATCACAAGTAAAGCAGTGTGTCCTGATAGATTTCACAGTAATTAACAACACAAAAAAAAAAAAGCAAATACTGTATGTGATTGAAAAAGGGTAGGACAGAACAAGAAAGGCTTTTAATAATCTAATATATAGCACAGTAATGGAGGCAGCAACATATGATAGATATAGGACTCATATCTTGATTGGATCGGTTCTGAAAAAAATGGTATTGCTGCATCCCTAGATTAAACATAAATTAATTTTACATTATAATTTCTTTAATACTACATTACTCTTAATAAAATCCAGATTAGCAGCATTTATTACAAGGCTCTCTGGAATACTTGTTATTGGGTGGCATTTTTATTATTTGATGTAGTAATTATTGTATTATTTAAAAATAATTCCATGAACTGCACACACATCTTCATTATTAACCCACAGGCCATCTGAGCAGAATGCATAGTCTATTGCTATTATCATACATGCTGTTATACATCCCATTAAATACAAATAAAGGTCTATATATAATTCATAGAATAAGTTTAAGTTTTGACTGGAGTTTCATTATTTGATTTGCCCGTGCTTTATTCAGTTATTCAATTAAACTGTCAAAATGCATAAATTTACATAGAATATTGGATTAGACTTTTACGTTCATGGCACCTTTTCCATAGACATAAATTATTAAAAATGATATCAGATGTATTTTACATATTCTGCCAAAGCAGCTGGGATGAGTTGACCCCCCCCCCCCCCGGGGAAGGGGTCATCTCACCCCACTAGTGGAGCAAGATTGACTTTCTTATGGTTTTGACAGCAAAATTAGCCTATATATATATTTACATTTATTATTTATTGTTGATGCGTATCTTCCTGCTTAACTCCCTAAATATGTTTGTTTATCAGTAAATGCACACTGCTCCTAAGAGGGACGTCTTCCCTACATTGCCATATATTTTGCAGTTTGTCCATGATAATCCACTTAGCTTTAATAGTTTCATGTCCCTCATGAAACACTCTATTACTTTGTGCTGAAAAAATTCTCCAGTTAACATTCATTTATTTTTGTGTTTATTAATGTGTGATGGTGACTGCCTGACTATGTTTATCCTTGACTTATTATACTGTTACTTTACCTCAGTTTAGTCTCTGAATAAAATCTCTCATCGTGCTGTGGACTATGATGTTCTCCAGTAATCCTATATGTGTGTGTTCCTGAACAATAATGAAATATTTTATTGCATAGGTTTTTAATCAGTAATGATCTCTCTCTCTCTCTCTCTCTCTTGTGTTTGCAGGTGGAGAACCGGCCGAAGTACTATGGACGAGAGTGAGTCTCTTTACACTCATTACAGACCCAGTTCAGATTCTGCGGGTGTGGTGTGGACTGACATGAATCCCCAGTGTTTCAGGATCTAATGCGTTTTTATTAATATTCTCTCTCCGATTGGTTTCCTGTGAAGGTATCATGGGATGATCTCCAGAGAGGAAGCCGACCAACTGCTCAGTGTGGCTGAGGGAAGTTATCTGATCCGAGAGAGCCAGAGACAGCCGGGCACATACACGCTAGCGCTACGGTACATGAACCTTCACCTTTGACCTTTGACCTGTCCAGACTCCTCCTCTTCTTCAGGATGTTCTGACTCGGTGTGCTTTATCTTTTGTAACTGCTTCAACTTACAGAAAGATAATAGCAACATGCTAAAACATTTAAGCAAGCATGGTAACATTAACAGCATGTTAACAATATGCTAAAGGAGACATATTATGCCCCTTTTTACAATATGTAATACAAGTCTCTGGTGTCCCCAGAATGTGTCTGTGAAGTTTCAGCTCAAAATACTCCACAGATCATTTATTATATCGTTTTGGAAATGCCTATTTTGAGTGGAAGCAGAAACACGCTATTTTTCGTGCCTGTCTCTTTAAATGCAAATGAGCTGCTGCTCCCCGCCCCCTTAGAATAGAGCTGTGCCTTTACAGCTCAGACCTGCTAAAAAACATCTGTTTTGGTTCTGATTATCATGTTTATCATGCTGAAATCATGCGTTTTAACACAGACTCACAGAAACAGTGTTCTGTGCTCGTCTGTGCAGCCAAAGACAGAACAGTTAGCATGCCTTGCTCAAACTGCGAGATCAGACGCGCTCGTTTTCTCAGAGGCTTGCAGAAAAAGGCTTCCCAAAACAAAGTTACTGGGTTCATCTTTTTCACATTTCCTTGGTTGGTAGATGCACCGGGGACCTGATTATAGCACTTAAAACCTGGAAAAGTTAGATTTTCGTGATATGTCACCTTTAAAACGTGGTTGCAGTTTGTTAAACCATGCTAGGAACATGATGAAGACATGCTAGCAACATAAGATGTAACAAAATAATATTAACCCTGCTGAAAAAAACAGCCTAAGCTGGTTTAAGCTGGAAGTAGCTGGTCTTCCAGCCTGACCAGCTAAAGAAGTGGTCAAGCCCCCTTTAAAACCAGCCTGGAAACCATCCATGACCAGGCTGGAAGACCAGCTAATACATTCTTTCTTTTTTAAATTTTAGCAGGGAACATTTTACAAAATGCTAGAAATATGCCAACAGCATGTCAAATCATGTCAGCAACGTGTTAAAACATGCTGTCAATGTGTTAATTGCTAGAAATATGCTAGCAACAGGTTAACTCATGTTAGCATTGTGTTACCATGCTAGTACATGTTAACATTGTGCTAAAACATGCAAGCAGCATGCTACATGTTAGAAACATGTTAGCAATGTGTTATAACATTCTAGAACCATGCTAGCAACATGCTAAGTTGTACTGGCAATATGTTAAAACCTGCTAGCAACATTTTTACTTATGCTAGCAATGTGTTAATATATATAATAAGTATATATATTTATTTATTTAGTCATTTATCAGACGCTTTTATCCAAAGCGACTTCCAAATGAGGACAACAGAAGCAATCAA